TAATTTGGTATGTAATCTTTTAGGTATGTACGTATAGATATTTATATTGAGTGTAACGACTCTGATTGTGGATTTCACTTGAAGCGTTTTACAAGGGGCGATTTACCGTACGTCACGATACGTCGTTACACACGACTGCACACGATATGTCGTTCGCAGCCTTTTAATCGTGTGACTACTTTGGAACTAAGAGAAAATAAAGTTATGACCGTTCTGGATATCCGCTAATAATCTAATTACCGTAAGGTTTATTGAGTAAAATAAGCGCAAATACTTACAATCTTAGTAAAACGCCCGCGTAATCGCGAAGTGAGTTTTCTATTTACTAATTGTATTATTACCCGCGTGACGTAAAAAGTAAATAAAGATATTTTATATTGGACGGATATAAGTGTTGTTGTGTTTTTGTCTTCATTGTCATTATGTAGTTTTGTCTCTGGGCCTATGGGCGTTGCGTCGTGTAAAGGTTTATGTTAGTTTCGATACAACTACAGCTTAAACAATGCCTGTTAAAAAAGGGATTTGTTAAATATTAATCTTGCAGTGTGCGATATCGTTGAACGTGTAAGCGACAAACGGTTTTGTTTTGCGCTTAATAATAAAAACATTGTTCTTTATTCTTTATTCTTTATTGTACACACATTTAATATTACAGTAATTGCGATAAGATATAAAAATGGCGAGCTTAACTCAACAATTGAGTTTATACCAGCTAACCGTTCTTAACGAAGGAAAGCTTTTACATTAGTGGGTAGAAGAATACAATCTAATTAATTTACAATCTAAACAATAACAATAATAAAAAATAAAAAAACACTAATACATAATATATCAGACTATATACATACACACATAAATAACGTAAACATATACATACACGTCCATATATAATTCAATATATAAAATAAATACATATAAGTAATACTAAATTGATAGATAGTGCTCCTTTAATGCCTTCCTGAATACTTCAAGTGAGGGACTTGCACTTGAGTCGACTATTATCAAAGCCGGCAATGTGACTTTTGGACAATTATTGGTAAATCAGAAAAACGAATTATTGACTTTGTATTCTATTGGCAGTCACGATTAAGTATTAACCTTTATTTAATGCAGGTTTTGAACCGTATTCTTTGAAGGAGACGATTATATTCAAATCAATCTGTATTGACATATCAATAACATTTTTTTTGTCCAAATGCACAGATTGCCACCTTTGATAATAGACGACTCACTTGTTTTGCATATTTTCTCGATAACTATGATTCAGTTGTTTTTTTCAGGATTCCGTACCCGTAAAACACGAAATTGTTTTCGCCATTTGTACCTGTATTTAGGCATTTAATAAGCGATCTAGAGTCGAAAAGAATTGGCATTCTTTATTACATATTTGGAATCCGCTGTACAACAACATTACGAAACCTGATTACAGTGATAAAAATCAAGTGTACATCCGCAAATAGTGTATAATTAGCAGGTTCTTACATACGTTGGCAGATTTCCAAGTACATATATATATATATATGTATTTTAGAGAACTTATATTTAAGTTACTTTTGAAGCTACTAATTAGTCAGTTTAACTTTTAAACTACATACGAGTTTATGGTGAAAAAGGATTTCAAAAACATTGAATACATTTAAGATGTCGGAAATTTTAACAGTAGCTATTTATACGGAATCTGGCAGTGTGAGTGGGCCACGCTTTTACCACCGTTTTTTTAATGATTATCACGTACTAATTATAATTAACTCATTTCACTAATCACCAATAAATTCATAAATCTACCTATTCGGTAAGACTTTCTCGTTATAAAATTTCCTTCAAACACAAATCTTGTACTAAATTCCCATTTAACCATGAAATTCCAATGAGTTGTTCAGATGGTCATTAAAATAATAATGTTATCGATCACCAACGAATGTGCTTTCACTATACGGAACTCGTCAATATACGTATAATACATAACTATCTCATCTATAGCTGTCATTGCGTTATTTAATTTCGTATGATGTATCAAGATCGATGTGTTTGAGAATGCAGGTATGCAAGTGTAGGGTGACTATGCTTTTATGCTACGAGGAATGTATGCATTTATTTTCTCATAAAAAAATTACAGTGTCTTTCGGTTACATTGTTGTCTCGGGACTCAATGTTTACCTATGTAAGTGTAATTATTAAATATATTTTTTTCCTATCAATGCTGATAACCTTGAGAGGCTATTTCAGCTTCTTTTTGATATGTAGGTGAGCTCACGGGGCTCAAACCGAAGTGTTACTAACACTGGCCCTAGCAAAAGCAGTGCTTCGCAAAATCTACCACCAGATTGGAAACGCGACCCACTAAGAAAATCCGGCGAGAAACTCAGTGGGCTGTGTCTATGAGTAAATTTACTCGTCGGGCCCTTCGTCGCAAGCGACGAGTTCGGCGAGGACGGTGACCGGTGCTTGAGGTACCTAAAAGCACCATTATTGGATCGGGAGGATCCGTAATGATGTGTTGTAATTATAGAGTGGGATTTTATACTATAGTTGAACGGAAGGTATATAAAGACAGAACAGTTTTTTTTAATTCCACGATTATTGTACGCTCGTAGTTAGTCTCGTGCGCTACAGAAAGACTATGGGGCAATGATGTGGGTATGTGGTGAATGAAGAAACTCACCTTTCAGTATTTGCACTTTGTAGCGGTTAGCGATAGCTTATGTTCTATGATAATAGAACACAAAATATTTGACAGATTCCCGAATCCCGCCAACGACAGTTTCAAGATAAGTTTATAAATATGTACATATACATACAAGCTTCGATATCCAAGTTCGGCCCGCCAATCTATCGAACATCTGCTATTTGTATTACTTCCAAATGTTTATAAATATTTTCGAACTTTTAGACACCTCTGAATTTTTTGTAGAATTCTATCGACAATACTATGTACACCTTAAAAATTAGAACCGGAATTAGATTTATTATTAAAAAAATCATGGTAACAGCAGTAAATGCATATCAGTCTAGTCGTTCGCGTCCGTCCACAGGGATTATCTTTAGTAAACCTCTTGTAAAAATGAATAATTAGAAAAAAAGTCTAATATTAAAAAAAAAGACGTACCCGCTGAGTTTCTTGCCAGTTCTTCTCAGGACGGAGGCTAGTTTTTGTGAATTGGCGGTAGTTCTTTTTGACGTTCAACAAGTATGTACTTACATTTATGTTGAATAAAAAAAATTTTTTTTTTGATTAATTGATTGATATAATAATACTTTTTTATTTATTTTCACCATTGGTCTCTGGATACATAACTCTATTTCATTTAAAGTCATCGTCGCCGATATGGTACCCGTTGTTCTCATATCGTGTGTTATAAATATGCCGGTGATCAAATCCCGCAACAAATTTTTAGCCTGCTTCAAAAGAAAGACAAAGGATTCAATTCGAGCATTTTTTTATATGTATTTTTATAATTCAGTCTTTCTTTCAGACTTTTTTTAAGATGAACCGTTTTTTATTATTTATTTAAAAGTTAGTGCTTCTCGTGTATTTCATTTTGTTGAATTCGATTTTATTTAAAATAGTTCTCTAAAGTCTAAATTACTTTCACGGTAAAGGAATAGCATCGTATAATAAGAAGAATAATCAAAGCCACAAATATATACTTTGCGTAATTACTAAGGCTTTACTAAGGCAGACTGTATTGTATGTTTGTAAGGTGGCAGGCGGTATTGTAAGGTAGGATCTACCGGTTTGATTTGAAGCCGTCATACATGCCAGTTTGAAGGATTGAGAGCGTCGTTGTACTTATACAATTGAGACGCAAATCTCGTGCTTTTTTATTTATTTATTTTTATTTGGGAAACAAACAGTACAATACAAACATATAATATTTTAAAAAATATAGCTAATACAATAACCAAATATGTTTCCACAATCAAAATCACATATAAGTAGAAAGTGAACAGAGAAGAGAAATTTAGAAATTTAAATTACAAAAAAACAAAACCCCCTAACTATTCACTGGTAGCCTAGCGGGCTATTGAAACGCCCGGACGGGTAGGTAAGCTAACTAGTTCAATCTGAGAGAATTTGTTAACACTAGCCTTAGCAAGAGCAATGTTTTGCAGAAAGAAATGTCTCCAGTTTGAAGCCGATCTATTTGACATTTCGTCTTTATCACTAAGGGTGGGTGGGTGACGGGGATCATATTGTGACGTCTACAAGCCACCGCAAGCCACAGACAGACTTGGCTCTGGCTCCGGCGTTATTGCCTAAAGCGTTGAGCTGCACGCCTCTAACCTTCAATAGCAAAAAAATATATATAAAAACGTTCGGAGTAACTAAACACGTCCGCCCTTTGTGTTCGATTTTCGAAGTTCGAAATTTTCTTTTTTCCAACTGCTTTGACAATTTGTGTCGACGGCGATTGTTGGATATAATGGTTAGATCTTCTATTGGCCTCCACAATCGATTGTGTAAAATCGATTTTTTTTTTTGTGACAACGTGCCATAGGGTCGGCATTTCCTTTAGTTAACGTTCATTGTTACACAACGCGTTTCCTATCGTGCTCAATCGATCTTGTTTGTTGGTTGTTGTTACAAGATCCGCGTTCTTGATGACTTTCAATATTTTAAACAGATTTTTTTCATTGGATTCTTCGTGCGATCTTATCGTCATGTAAATAGCGGAATCAACACATTGCCAGTAGTGCTTTCGTTGTTCAATTTATTTTCTGATGGAACAATAGAATAGGGAGTCCCATTTTCTAATAATGTAGTAACCACAGAACTAAGAACTTCGACTTACGAACATTTTTTTACGCATTAAAAAATGTTCCCCCTTGACGTTACTTTATAGTATACTAAGTCTATTCGCAATCCAGACATATTGTACAATTGCATACCTTAGTATTTTTGCGTTTAAAGAATCTGAATTCAAAATATGATAAGCTGAAATGTTACATACATGATGAAATACACTTACGTTCATTAAATCTATGTTATTCGTTCACAGGTATTACAACGCGACGTGGAATGTCATGGACGTATAGTCAGCTCAGTGGTGCGGTTGTGCCGCGGCGGTGACGCAGCCCGCGCCCTAGAACGACGCTGGCATCTCCTGTACCTCCGAGCCATCGAGTGGCAGTGTCACCTAGAGGCCTGTTTGACCAAGATTAACACTCAGGTAATACATTACCGTATAACCTCAGAGCCACCCCTCAAAACGAAACACAGATCTTTTTCGCGTCTGAAATAAGAAAAATGTCGGCACCTACTTGTGCCCATTCACTTTGCGCCCTACAACCAATACCCAATGAAAAACAATAGCAAATGAGCTGGAAGGAGCTGACTCTTCCTAACCGCATAACCCTTCACAAATTTTATCGCTTTGCTCAATTTCCGTCGAAATACACACAATAGATTAATCAGCCACCCGCGGTTGTTTGCAAACATGACCCAGGACCCCAAGTGCCGTGCAGAATTATAACATTAGGTCCCCTAGTCGTAAAACCGCGTAACGTGTTAAAGGAATTGCTTATTGAATCTAGCCCCATTGTTGTACGTTAACGTATTGATGATCAATAAATAACCATGTGCTATTTATTGTAAATAGAGACTATGATGAAAAGAAACAAAAGCTTATAATAAAGATGCGCGTCTAAAGGGTTTATTTTATCTTTTGCGTGTAAGTTAAACGTTGATCAAATCTCGATATCGCGATCTTTGTTTTCAAAATGCATCACTTTCTATTTCCCCAAGTCCGAATCGGAATGCCGTAGAAAAGCTTTTCCTCATTCCTTCACCGGTTTTGAGATCTACACTGTAAATGTTACACAACATAACAATATTGTATCGAATTGATTTTCGTATCATGCTTTTTCCTCGACACGAAACCGGCATATTCCACAATTCCCACAAGTACTAACAACTGTGTACTATAAATTGACGTCGCGTTTATCCACACACTCCAAGACTCGGCAAGCGAAGGGTTAGGTCACGTGGCCGCACTTGTATGAATTAAATTTATTATGATTTATAGCTTACAGGCCACATTCACTACAATAGTAAAGTTTACATTTGGATAGTTATGGGGATTCTATTTTCTATTTTACTATTAAAAATTTATATAAATAACGTCCTCCGGGATGTTTTAACTGACATTTATTGTGCCGTAAATTTAAAATGTTTTTTTGTTTGATTCGTTAATAAAATAACTTTGTGAATTAAATAGTTATGCTTAATGGTGGAGATTAGAAATATCTAGTTACTGTGACTACTATAAACCTTAAATAATTTTTCAACAAATGTAAGCAGTTTTTTAACTACCTTCGAAGATATCACTTCTAATAGCCTGATATAATCTCCCTGGCGTTCATTATAGTAAAAATAACGCAGTGATATATGAAAAACGTCATAATTATGATAAAATTACGTTACGAAAACTTCTCAGAATAATATTTTTGTGAATATATTGTTTATTATACCTGTTTACTAATAAATATGCGTCTTTACAGGGTGGAACGTCAATTGAAGCTGTAAGTGACAGTGATGACGAACCGGCCCTAAAACAACCGAGACTCAGCAGAAAAGGCTCTCCGCGGAGTCCAAGAATACCGAGAAGTCCACGTAGACAACGCACTCCGGTTAATGCTCGCTGCAGAGAAAACTCTACTGACAGTCGACAGTCAGCATCAGAGGTAAAAGAGATGCATCAGCATGTATTTGCAAAATATTGTCATGAAATCGGTTCGTGACTTCGTTTGTTGTCATGGCAATAACAGATTTCAAGGACCCTCGCATAAGTGGGTAGTTGCTAAGTAACAGACTTACCTGTGCGTAAAACCATTAGCTACATGATTCCCGAAAATGTGTTTATCATATCGAAGAGGGAAAATAAAAAAGGGCATTATTCCTTTTAGTTAAAGTATTATATTATTATGTGTTTATTTTTATGTTACTACCATGATCTATAGTACCTGGTACCTAGGTAGCACGTACTATAGATCATCAATAGGCATATTTCTGTCGCGAATCCATAATGCATTTCAGTTTGAAGGGCGGGAGAGCCGATATATGTACTATACAGTTTGGGAACCTCCAACTTCATGACTCGAAATGAGGGGCAATATTCATGTTCTGATGTCTGTCGGCTTCGTCAAATACTTAATACTTGATGAGTGGCTAATACATTTATGCAATACATATAAATTGCGAAAAATCCATTTCTCTTTTGCATTAAATGTACAATACGCATGTGTATATTTTTTTCAGGAGGAACAAGAATATGTACTGACGTATACGTGGAGGGGATTCGGATCTGACTGTGAATCGGAACTGATGAGGGAACAAAGCAACATGGCAGACGAGAGGAGAGTACCCGACTCGTTTGAGGACATGGACGTAAGAACCACTGACCAAACTGTACCTGTCACTGTTGACCAACTTGACGGTAAGTCAATTTTTTTTTTTTTGCTTAGGTGGTTGGACGAACTCACAGCCCAACTGATGTTAAGTGGTTACTGGAGCCCATAAACATCTATAACGTAAATGCGCCACCCACCTTGAGATATAAGTTCTAAGGTCTCAGTATAGTTACAATGGCTGCCCCACCCTTCAAACCGAAACGCATTGCTGCTTCACGACAGAAAAAGGCAAGGCGGTGGTACCCACCCGCCCGGACTCACAAGAGGTCCTACCCCCAGTAATTAATCAATTATTAAAACGTAACTCAATCCAAGACAGTGGCTCTCAATTAGTTTTGGCAGATTCAAAAATGGCTTGACCTCGTGTAATTATTTAACCCGACTATAAAAAGATCTGAACTTTAAGTCTACGGCTCTCCGTAGACTTAAAGTCTTGTAAGACTTGCTCTTTGGATCTTGTCCTATGGAAATTGGTTTTGTAAATAGTTTGAGATTATCCCGCTATCTTGCTGTTGCCATTGCACCACCGACCATCGAAGCAGAGTTGATCTTCATTACCTGTAATTGTTGCATTCATAGGCAGTGCGTTTTACACAATTTTGGCCACGAACCATTCGACTCTTGTATTTTCTCTAACGGTATACTAGAGTTCATTGATTTTTGAAATATCTTCAACAATAGGCAGCGAATTAGCTGATTGAGTAACCTCCATTTACCTGATTGGTTTTGCCGCCATTCACTAATTAAAGATCACTGTCATAACAATTTCCGTATACTTTACCAAATAAAAACGATCACATGCACAAGATGACGGTATACTTCACTTAATGTATACTAAAGATTAATAATGATCTCAAGCATTCATGAAAAAGCGGACTACAGAGTTTCACTCGCGAAACAAATCGAAACTTAAATAATCAGTCACCTGTGAATAATTGAAACAATTTCCGTTTTCTAACAAAAGAAAACACAACTCTCCCCGCCAAGTTGTTTTGTGACGTAAAACAATTGTCGTTCTCATTGTTTAACATATCTTTCGACAAACAAACATCAGTGCAAACAGTAAAACAATTCATTATATTGCAGGCCTCGATATAAACAGCTCAGTTATTATAGAGGAGAAACTCAAAACGCCACCGACAGTGATTAAACGTAAGAAACCAATAGACACGTCGAAATTCAATCAGACCGATCGAAAATCCAAACATCTAGCAATCTTCTACTTCAAACACCACGATACGGATTCAGACAGACAAGTTATTGAAACGGACGAAAAAAGCCAAGAGGAATCTTCCGAAGAAGAATGGACGTACGTTGGAGGTGCTAAAATAGCCAACGAAGACTCAACTGATTTGATGACGTCATCTGTGGAAATACAATGTGAGCTACCAGTTGATAATCAGAAAGACACACCGGCATCTCCGAAACTGAAACTAGAATCATCGACGCCTGATTTACTGCGAGTCGAAAATACTAGATGTAAAGACATAGAGAGATTAGTGAACCAGGCCGAAGAAATGGTTCATAAAAAGGCTATGGCAAAGAAGAAGGGAATTAGGAACTTCAAGCCATTGAGCTTGGAAACTGACGGGAAAAATGTAAGCAGGAACAAAATGTCCAGGATCAAGGAATGGCTGAATCAAAGTCCGGATGGAAAGAACGAAAACAATCAGGTAATTATTCAATGATATTATTAAGTTTATCTAATATTCGTGAAAGTAACTTGGAATGAGATAATACGTTACGCAGATAAGAAGTAAAGACGATTAAGCCAATAAAACTTCATATCTCGTAATCGATCATGTGATAAAGTTGAATAAAAATAGCGCAGTGGATTAAAATTTTCTTTTAACCTTATAGAAATGTAGTGATATCGAACGACGAACACAATAGGTGCGAAAAAAAACATGGAAAAGTGTTAAAGTCGTCTTTTGATTTTAGGTCATGTTTACTTCCTGTCGAAAATTATACTTGCACTTTCTACATGGAGCTTTTTACAACATGTTTGATGTACTGCTTTAAAGTATTTGATTTGACTGTTATAATACTTTCCAAATACTAATTCAGAAATTATATGAATGAAGTATATACAAGTGTATCTATCGATCGTTAATACATGAATATATCCCACTCTAACTCATTTTAGATATTCGGTTTTTACGAGTCGTGGACATAATTAAAATAACTTTTACGGTTTAATCTCGCGTTTTTATTGTCATTATATTATTTCCGATTATCAAACACCTGGGATGAAAACTCAAAAACAAACTGCCAGACCTTAAGATATTATTAGCTCTATCTCTGCCAAATTAAATATAAAGTTAATAAATATTGTTATTGAAAAATAAACGGTACATAGTTAACACAATCGTCCGCGGCTAAAACTGAAAATTATTCTTCTAACGTCAAAAATAATAATTGAAATTAATTCGTAAAATTCATTTTAATTATCGTAAAAGTGACATTACTAAAGTTATGCATAATTGTAATATATTGTATTTCAGAACACGGAAAGCTATGATGCGTCTGGCGAATACACAACGGAAAGCGAAGTGGACACATCACTCACATCTGAAGAACGGAACCTACACTCCTCCATGGATATGAGCACCTCCACTTGTACAGTTACGCCGACACATCATGCCAAGGTAATGTCGAGTACACAAAGACAAATAACACAACTCTACAAAAAAAAAACGTTCTTTGTCCTAACGTTTATAATAGATTTTTCCGGTTAATTATTCACAAAAACGAAAATAAAATACCTTTTTTTATATAAAGTTTGCTTTTGTGATAGTTATAGTAATAATATTCATTTTTAATTTTTTTTATAAATTTTAATTAATTATACCTTCAAAAAAAACCGAGCTATGAGAGTGGGGTGTTTACGTTTACACTGTGCCACTAGATGGCACTCGAGTCATAAACAACGATCAGGTGTTTTGTACAAACCCAGAAAAACTTAAAATGTCACAAGAGTGTAAACGATGTTGATGCATTTCGTTTCATATGTGGTCAATTTATTAAAGTTCAAAAGCAAACTGTTTCATGCCATGTATTTTTTTTTCGTCTAATTACGATCTAAAATATCGAAATTTCATGCTTTCCAATCAAAGTCAAATTTGGTGTTGACCCGTGTAATTTATCCATATTCTATGGATTATCGCGCATTTATTAGTAAACACCTCATAAATCATAGGTATTTAGAATTAGCAAGAATGTATATTACAATAGAGGGCCTTAACGATTAAAATGATATTGTTTGTATGGATAGATTTAATTTCTTACAAATAGTTTACCTGACTTTATCCTGTAAAGCCATAAATGAGTCGTCTATTATCAAAGGTGGCAATCTGTGCATTTGGACAAAAAAATGTTATTGATATGTCAATACAGATTGATTTGAATATAATCGTCTCCTTCAAATGAATACGGTTCTAAACCTGCATTAAATAAAGTATTAACTTAACCTGTTATTTATCTAAGATGTCGTTCAGAAGAGTTTTGTGACTGCCAATGGAATACAAAGTCAATAATTCGTTTTTCTGATTTACCAATAATGGTCCAAAAGTCACATTGCCGGCTTTGATAATAGTCGACTCAAATATAATAAAATACGTGTGTATTAAAAACATACAAACGTTTACAAATAAATATAAAATGTACAAATATTTACGCTTGTTTGTATGTCAATAGTAAAAAATAAGTTATACGAGCATATCGTTTTGTATTATTTACTAACTAATACGATGTCTGTGCTTGAGAATCATTCTTTCATGAATGTCTATGATTTAAGTCACTATTGAGAGCAAATTCAAAATTCACTTCGCCACGTTGAAGTTTGTGAACATTATGTAAATAATCCATCTCAGCTTCAAGCAACCCGTTCATAGCCATTATTTGTTCATAATATTATTATGTCATATCGTCTTCTCGCATTAAAGCTGTATAATCTCAAAACTTACTAAATTTTACAGGAGAGTGTTTTAAAGGTTTAACATGTGAGATTTTGAATATTAATCATCTTTGCAACAATTATTTTTTAGTTTTTACTAGTTACATTATCTGTCTTTTAAAGTAAGATAAAATTATGTACTAATTTTGTTAATACCAGTTAAAATATAGGTAAATTAATTTTTTTTATCTAAAACTAAACTACGCTCTTTTGACAGTATTTATGAGAAAAATACCGGTGATACCAAATGATTCCGCATATTAACTCAATTTCGAATATTTTTGGAAATTGTACACTTTTAATGCGAAAAGACATTATGTACATTCGTTGTGTCTAACAAAAGAAACTCGTACTAGGTTACATTAAGAAAGAAACGCGCCGGTAACAGCACTAGGCCTTGGTCCGTATCGTGTCTGTCTCAACTGAGCGGTGCGGGCGCATCCCTAGCCGCCACGCCGACAGCGGCGGACGCGCCGAACATGACACACAACATGTCCATATCGGAATCTGCGCTAAACACGCTAGCCTCCCCGCATACAGTCACGCCTTCGAACTCTAACTCGAAATTAAGGGGCAGTTCCACAACTGTACAGGTAATAAACGCTTCCACTAACCTGCATTTTCATTGTTAATTAAAAATTCGAACAATAAAAACGATGCTTGCTTTGCAAAGTTCTTCTTTATCCTACTAATATTATAAACGCGAAAGTTTGTTAGAATGTATGGATGTATATTTGTTACTCTTTTACGCAAAAACTTTACAATAATGTAGCTTACACACCAGAATAACACATAGGCTATAATTTATAAAGATAAAGTGTGAATTACCCTAAATACAACAATAAGTGTAAAAGTAAGTAGGAAAAAAATGTACCATTTGCGAGCTATTCCAAAAACCGTTGGAGCTACACGTATATAATGTAAATTGAAAATGCTTATCTTAAATAGTCCTACAAAAAACCCGTGATAGCATATATCTATCTTTTATGTGCAAGCCATTATCGCCAAAATAGTGAACCATGAATATACGAACAGGAAAGATTAGATTTGTTTGTTACGTTCTTTCTTTATTGTGTCTGTTACTGTCAGGACTAGATTCAGATCAGTAATCAATAATGTATTACAGTAACCGAAGCGAGGGCGGGTCACTAGTGTATAATTCCCTCAGACACAGCCCACTGAGTTTCTCGCCGGATCTTCTCAGTGGGTTGCGTTTCCGATCCGGTGGTAGATTCTGCGAAGCACGGCTCTTGCTAGGGTTCGTGTTAGCAACGTCGTCAGGATTGAGCCCCGTGAGCTCATCTACTAGTTGAGGTTACGCTGAAATAGCCTGTCAAGGCTCTCAGCTAGGTAGGGAAAAAAGTGCATAATAATAGCACTTATACCAAATCAAGTAACTTTTCATGTATAATATAGTTTTGAAACTTGAATACTTCTTTGATTATATTCATTACTTACTTACTTAAAATTTAACATTCAGGGTCACGTATCAAGCACGAACACAATGACGGAAGCCTGCACGTCGTGCGTCGAAGCCAACGACAAACAGTGCTGGTTACGGCGCAAGCGTTTCAAGCTCCGCCGCCACAACGCACCGCAAAATTCCAGGAGGGAGAGGCTGGTCAAGTCTCTGTCGTTCTGCGGAAGGCTCAGCCCTGAAATAGAAGATAAAAATGAGAGGAGCGCCGCGAGTGACCCGGCTACAAGAAAGAGCAGGTCGGTTGTTTATTGTTGTTTAAGGGATTTACTGGTAGTAGGACCTCTTGTGAGTCCGCACGGGTAGGTACCACCACCCCGCCTGTTCCTGCCGTGTGAAGCAATAATGCGTTTCGGTTTGAAGGGTGGGGCAGCCGTTATAACTATACTGAGACCTTAAAGTTCATATCTTAAGGAAGGTGGCGGTATTTACGTTGTAGATGTCTGTGGGCTCTGGTAACCAATTAACACCAAGTTGGCTGTGATATATCCAGTAAATAAAAAAGTGTAATTCCAAGTAAACGGTTCCGTATTATTTACGTGTGGTTTTGGCACATCACTGATTTTGTGCATATATAGCACTGGACGACAAGTGGATACTTATAGATGCGAGTATCATATCGTCAATACCGCCAACTTGAAGTCTCCAGTACAAATACCAATCGTTACACAACAATAGAGCAGTCTCTCTACCATTCAAACTGATATGCATGATTGCTTTCTGACATGTACTCAGTTAAGTTTTTTTTTCTTTTACCATGTAAGGATGAGGGGAATGTCGAAGTGACCTACCAACACATATCTGTATTTCTCAAGAATTGCCCAGGATGTATTTGTATGTGTAACAACCCTAAAACATGTTCTTAAAGGCATTCGTAACATCGTTCACAGGTTCGACACGACCTCAACCTCGGGCAACGACAGCGACGAGGAGCTGATAAAGCAACAGTTGGCAGCGATGGCGAACCTACGCAAGAGCATCGAGAAGACCCACATATCGACACGCGAAGACGGTGCCATCCCGGAGCAGAACGAACAAAACGATCCAGAAAACACGTCCAAACCCGAATTCAAACTCGGCCCGGCCGGCGGAACGGTTCGACCGAGGTTGGCGAGGAGCTTGGAAAGGGAACGGAACTTCTTGGCGCTAAGCCTCGGCGATCCGAACCAGCTCTGGGATCTGAGTTTGGACAAAGATTCGGACGTGGACAAAAGCGTGACGGCTGGCACAGAAGAGCACAGCTCGTTCTCGGAACAAGCCTGGGACTTTTATCAAGTGAGTCTAGGCTCTTAAGTCCATTTTTTTTTATTGCTTAGATGGGTGGACGAGCTCACAGCCCACCTGGTGTTAAGTGGTTACTGGAGACCATAGACATTTACAACGTAAATGCGCCACCCACCTTGAGATACAAGTTCTAAGGTCTCAGTATAATTACAACGGCTGCCCCGCCCTTCAAACCGAAACGGTGGTGATACCTACCCGTGCGGACTAGAGAAAGGTCCTACCACCAGTAATTACGCAAATTATAATTTTGCGGGCTTCAGTTTTATTATATCATGTTATTCCTTCACCGTGGAAGTCAATCGTGAACATTTGTTAAGTACGTATTTCATTAGAAAAATTGGTACCCGCCTGCGGGATTCGAACACTTATGCATCGCTAGATACGAATACACTGGACGTCTTATCCTTTAGGCCACGACGACTTCAATAATATCAAATCCATAATGTGAATTTAGTTTGCCTATTTCTGCCGCAAAACAGTCTAGCGTTATCGTTTGAAAGGTACGCCAGTCGTTGGCGCGTACTTGGACTTTGTGTCTTAAGGTGGGCGCCGGAATTCGCATTGAAATGTCTATAATAAGCTCCAATCACTTGCACACCAGATGAGCTAAGGGTTTGTTTGTCCATATATACAAAATAATAAGGATTATCTTTGCAATTTGAACATCTGTGCTGCAATTTTCTATTATCGAACTAACATAATCTTTTTAACTTAATAAGTCAGATAATCTAGTTTTGTCGTAAAATCCGAGCCCAGCTAAATGTATGCAACGATACTCATGTAATGTAATTCTTAAACAATTGATTTCTATTCACTCCGTCGTAACTTTTATTACTATTGTCCGCAGGAAAAATACAACTCTGAACCTTACTCCGAAGCCCCAGATTCTGACGCCGCACGTCGGTTGCTCGAGTTCGGTGACGACTACCGAGCCTTTTTGGATTCACAGTCGGACTGCTGCTCTAGCTTGTCCGCACAACCAGAACACGATCAGAGCCTCAGTGGTACTCGAAGAAGGCGACCTCCCTCCGAAATGTCCAGGGAGAGAAGCTTACCGCGTCACAAGCGTCCCACGAGAACCTCCCCGGTCGAAACGCCTTCTAGAAAGCCCAAAAAGTCGATGTCCAGCGCTGAACGCAAAAAAACATTACTCGACAGCCTAGAGAGATCGAGGAACAACACTAGTCTAGAGAGCAACGACGGAGTCCGGCGCCGGAAGCCATCGGACATGGAACGGAAGAAACACTCACCAGAATTCGACTTGCTCAACGTGCAGGCTCTCGGCCGCCGACGTCACAGCTCCAACATGACCAGCGACGAGGTGAACAGCTCGCTCGAGTACACCGAAGTGAATAACAGACCGGACATTCTGGACTCGCTGAACCGACGTCGGAGGACCGAGAAAGACGGGGAGGCGGAGCTGCAAAAGGTCGCGCTTTCTGAACTGAGGCGGAGATCCACAGAGAGCATCGACTCTGAGGACGAGTCGTCGAGTCCCAAGAAGCACAGCCGAAGGACGTGGACGGACGAATCGGAGTCGGAGGCGGAGGAAGTGAGGTCCCTGGTGCGGCGCTCGAGCTCGGCGCTGGACGCCGCCGAGGCGCTGCTGGAGCGGCACGAGGCCTCGCCCGACCTGCTGCGCGCCTTCGACTACGTAAGGCCCCCATTCGATACAGATTTCAGCACTAGCTATCCGGACTGCGAGGAGCGGCGCCCGGCGTGCTTCAGGGCGCGCCTGTGTCTGGCCGTAGCCGCCTTCTCGATCTTGATCATAGTTTACGTTCACTTGCAATGAAATATCGTCTTTTCGCATTAAAAGTGTACAATTTCCAAAAATATTCGAAATTGAGTTAATATGCGGCAGGCAGCGGCTTGGCTCTGCCCCTGGCATTCCTGAAGTCCATGGGCGACGGTAACCACTCACCAACAGGTGGGCCGTATGCTCGTCTACCTACAAGGGCAATAAAAAAAAAATATATACGTAAAAATTTGGTATCACCAGTATTTTTCTCATAAATACTGTCAAAAGAGCGTAGTCTAGTTTTTTTTTGCAATTATTAATACTATTATTACTACTATTAACTAAATTAATACCTAATTTTATCTTACTTTAAAAGACAGATAATGTAACTGGTAAAAAATTAAAAAATAATGTTGCAAAAATGATTAATATTCAAAATATCACATGTTAATCCTTTAAAACACTCTCCAGTAAAATTAGTAAGTTTTGAGATTATACAGTTTTAATGCGAGAAGACGATATGGCTTGGGCTTGTGTCGTAATAATTATTCTATGTGTAAGTATATGGATTAAACACGCTGCGATCGTCAGACACGCGGATGCTATTTACGTTGTAGGTGATTGAAAGTGGAGGGTCCGTGCGTCGTTTGTGTCAGCAAGCCTAGTCCGGTCGGTACCGATCGGAGATTGCCTATGACTTTTGTAAGCTCACACGTGCGAATGCGTCTACAAAAGTATTCAGAGAACAGAGATGCATTCGCATGACCGTTGCTCAACTTATTGTGTACAAAATGTAAATTGTAGGCATTTATAAATATAGACTTAATAAATGAATTAAGATTTAGTGTGACCATCGCAGCAAATACTAATTTTACAATTAACATTATAGTTTATTTCATCGCTATCACGGTCTTAAGAGTGATAAAATGATTCACAAATTTCTATATAATTTTATAATCAAACCGTTAACAGTTTCGTTCTTTAGAATATCCAAGTTCTGAATGATTGTTTTTTTTTTTCATTTCACTAACCCCTTCGCTGTCGTGTGTTTGTGTGTTGTGTAGAATACTAACTGCCTGGAATTCTTTTTGTTACAATATCTTACGTCTCTGGTGGTGATAATTTGGTGCTAAATCAAACAAAGGTTAAGACTACTAATTTATAAAACAATAGTGTAAAGGTTACTGAACGCTTCAGTTAGGAATCATTCACAGTTACCTGTCTTGTTAGTCGATTGAAAAAATGAAACGTCAAATTGACAGACGTCATATTTGACGATTTCGTTCGATACTAGAGAAGGATGAAAGCCCTAACTCTAAACTTTGGGGAAATAGTACTAATTTAAAATCGCCATTGCATTAATTAATTTCATAATAAAATTATTATTACATTAATATTAGTTGGGTGTGTACTTACCTCATAGGAATACAAAGCTCTTGTCATTCAGTGATATATAGTTGTAACGTTTATCTAGCTTTGTTAATTATTTACATTTGGTTGTAATTTGTAATTTTTTTGATAGATAAACATATTTATTTTGTAACTACGTGAATCGACTGAACTCCGCAGTATCTCACTATAAGGCTTTCTTTATGTAATAAATAATGTTATGTTGAATAGGGACAGGTTGTTAATTGATTTTATTTTTATAAAAGATAATGTTAACAGCGACCTTTGTATAACTTGTTTAAAAAAATAAATGTTTAAATTTTGAAAATTAAAATGGAGTTTCAGTCAATTAACACCCTACTCTCTCAACAAAGATACAATCACACGAAGCACAGATAATACAGAATTACTATTAGACATAAATAGTATGAACACGGGTTTTACGAAATTCAAAAATTTTAGTTTCTTTTTATTTCGGGCCTGTTCAATTTCTGCTTTTCTAATGTGTGTTTGGCTTAATGACGTTTGGCTTAACTTCCTTCCTTCTTTAATAGGAATGTTGCATGGTCCTGTGTTGAGCTTAAAAATAGATTTTATTTGAAATTGGAAAAAGAAAACGCAGAAGAATGACGGAGGAGAAAGTGAATTGTAATGCAGATTTTTGCTTGAGATGTTGAATAGAGACGTTCTCGATTACATAATTGTATTTTTTAGTTTTTAAACGCATTTTTTGTTTGCAACAACATTTTTTTTTCGTGTCACAGACGGAGGTCGTGACTCGTTGTCGCGAAAATATCAACTTACTGGAAGCGAGTTTGGCTGGTGGTTCCCTTTCTGCGACATTGCAGCGCGATGTTAGAGGTAAGTTAACATTACGAGTTACGAAACGAAAAATAATATTGACAAATAATTATCGTGCTAACGCCAAAAATACCTTCATGGATTTTAAATAAAACATTACACATTTCAGTTTAAATTCTTTTTGTACATTGCGTTCTCTTTTGTTATTATTTTGAGTCATTTTTTTTTCTTCAAACTCTTCGTAAGCGGCCAGCAATCTATACTAATATATAAATCTACGCAATATTTTGTTTCATGCAAAAGAAGTAACGAATCGAGAGATCTGATGCAAATTGCGGTTTCTTACTCATGTTTCGACCGGTTCTGGAAAGCCTTGCAATTTACGCATGGACGCCACATTGAAACAGAACACGTAGTGCTATTTTTATAGTAAACTAGCTGACCCGGCAGACTTCGTAGTGCCTCAATCGATAAATAAAAGACACAAACAAAAGGGAGGGACATCAAAGGGAAAACAAAATTGTTATTTTTATTTAATTCCGAGCATTTTCATATTTATCTACCTTTTAAACCTTCCCTGGACTTCCACAAATAATTCAAGACCAAAACTAGCCAAATCGGTCCAGCCGTTCTCGAGTTTTAACGAGACTAACGGACAGCAATTCATTTTTATATATATACATATATAGATATTCATCAAGAAATAGGCAAAGACAAAAGACAGTTAAAGTTTTTTTTTGTTTTTTATAGCAATAGGTGAACTAAAATATCATCAATGTTTTTTTTTAAATAGTAAGTTGGCCCTTTAAAGTATGGTAAATAATAAAACGGAACAAAATATAAAATTAAATAACATGAATTGTTTTTTTATCGGAACAATGATTATGACCAAAATTCGATTATTGTTCGAACGCTTGTTAGTAAAAAATGTTCTCAGGATCCTCAAAACTCTTTTGAAACTCGTATTTAAATTAAACAATTGCGAAATATGAGAAATTCGCTTAGAATTTATGCTAAAATCATTCTTGTGTAGTTGAAATAAACCACTTTTTAATGAGCTTTGGGATGATTTTGCTTCGACCTTGTGCGCTAAATGAGGTGCAGCTACATTCTGACAAATGAAACCTTAGAGTATACATACTATAGGTATACTCTAAGAATGAAACACACTGAAGGATCAGTAATTATGTAAAACTGATTTTAGTGCCAAAATGAATGCTTAAATCATATTTCAGATCAATGTTGTAAACCCCCAAGCTGATATTTGACTAGTTATTATTAGCTTCATCTGTATCTATTTTTCTCTATTTATTACGTTTGCTGTAATGTAAATGAAATAAATGATTATTGCATTTTTTTAATTGTGCTTGTATTCAAAACGAAGTATAGTTTAGTTGTTAAACTGTATTTTTAGCATTATGTTAGGTCAATGGGTAACAGTCTCGATGACCAAGGCTGATCGCTATATTTTTGCAGTTTTGGACGTGTTTGCCAGAACCAGTTTTTTTTTTTTTCTTTTTTTTACTTGTAACAGGCATGATTTACTGGCGGTCCGCTTTTATTTATTATCGACCAAGTGTGTGACCAGTTTCAAAGATGAAAATTGGCTTTTGAGCGGCATGTAAGTCAAAACGTGTTTTTATGTGGTTACTTAATTACAGTGTTTTTTATGTCATTAAATAATATAATACCTAATTATTATGTTGTGCTCCAATAACAACTAGTCTTTAAATTTGTCATATTTACGCCATTTTTTTCTTCTTCGAATTATGTTATCGTTCTTTTTTATTATTACTAGCTAAACTATTGGATGAGTGCTCATAAAAACAAAATCAAAAGCTCAAAAGATTAGTATTAGTAAATTAGTAGATATTCATAAAAAAAAAATTTAAAGCTAAACCAAAAATTATTTAAAACAAATTTAAAAAAAAACGAACGTCCATTTCTAATTTTAACGGTTTCACGTAAAATAGGGCAACTTAATAAAATACTGCGGCAACCATATGCTGTAAATAAATCTGGATAAAATCTACTCGTGCTTATCTTTCTTTTGAAGTTGCTATTTTTGAATTTTTTTATCTGAGCCAAGTACATACTTGTAACCCTCTTGTTTCGTCTTCCGTTCCTTGTTCATGATTTAGGGTTGCCAAATAACATGTAATTGTGTTTCAAACGTGTTGTGAGCGGATCTATATCTATACTAATATTATTTATTTATTTATTTATTTATTTAAGGATTACCGACAGGGTTTACAGTAAGACATAAAATAACATTGACATGTATAGAGCAATTGATAACTGCAACTCTAATTATAGGCAATCACAGCATGCATTACATTAATATATTAATAGAGATTTAACAATACTATTAATAATAATAAAAAATTAAAAACAAAAGAAAGACAACAAGGGCAGTAATACCCGAGTACTCAGACCGAGGCTGAGGCTGAGGTTCAACAACAACTTTTTATAATTTTGTTCTTAAATATTGGAAGGGAATCGCCAAATATGTCAAGGTTTTCAACTTTTCTAACAAGATTATTATAAAGGTTAGTTAGACGAGGAGTAGGTGAGTGCTTGCCTAGATTGGTTCTGCTAAAGCGGGTGCTGAAAAGAGCAACGGGGCGACGAGGTAACCTAGATGGCACCTTCAAAGAGAATTTATTGAGGATGAATTGGGAGTCGACAGTACCGCTCATAACTTGATGTAAAAAACATAAGCCTAACATATCGCGGCGATCACTCAATGTTTGCATTTTAAAATATTTAGCCCTATCAACATAAGATTCAACATAATTAGGCGGCCTAAAACGGTACGACATGTGGCGAAGTAACTTTTTTTGAATTCTCTCAATCCTGTTAATATGGGTTTTGTATGTAGGAAAAATAAAATAAAATATAAAGAGGAAAGATTTGTTTGTTTGTTTGTTTGTTTGTTTCGAATAGGCTCCGAAACTACCGGACCGATTTGAAAAATTATTTTTCCATTAGAAGCCGACATTGTCCCTGATGAACATAGGCTACTTTTTTTTTCTTTTTTTTAAATTTATTTTTTTGTTTCATGTGTGTTTTAATGTTTCCGAAGCGAAGCGAGGGCGGGTCGCTAGTACATCAATATTATTGTGCGCTCAGTAATTCGGCTTAATAATTAGATCCTTAAGTTTTTTTTACACAATTTAAACTACAAAGAACTGTAGGATTTTCAACAAATTTACCATAATGCAAACCTAGAGTATTTAATATAAGTTTTTTTTACACAATTTAAACTACAAAGAACTGTGGGATTTTCAAGAAATTGATCGTAATGTAAACCTACACTATTTATTAGAAGCAACACACGTTACATCAAAAACGAGATTTTTTTTTATTTCTATCTCGAAGTTTTGTTTAAATGGCAATAGTTCCATATTAACTCCACAAAAAAGTTAAAATTATTGCGACATCCTTGCGCCACGGTCCCGGAAACGGTGACACGGAGAACGATCACACGCCCATTCGTTCGCTCCATCTATTTTTGCCTGCGAAAGCGTAACGAAAATGAGAAAATTATGACAAAGACAAAAAATACATACTTACTTATAAAAGGACTTACTGATGGTAGAATCTCTTGTGAGTCCGCACGTGTAGGTACCACCACCCTGCCTATTTCTGCCGTGAAGCAGTAATGCGTTTCGGTTTGAAGGGCAGAGCAGCCGTTGTAACTTTATTGAGACGTTAGAACTCATATCTCAAGGTGGGTGGCGCATTTACATCGTAGATGTCTATGGGCTCCAGTAACCACTTAACACCACGTGGGCTGTGAGCTCGTCCACCCATCTAAGCAATAAAAAGTTAAAAAATAAAAATATTTAAAACTTCTGCAAAAATCGGAGCGATGGAATTATATTTTAATGTTTTCTTATGGCCGGTTAGATATTTTAAAGCAGATATGAATTTCTCAAATTACGGAAATACGTCACGTCACATTCACCAATGGCGAAAGCGCAACAATGGAACGATCTCTGTAAAAGTTGAGTTAACACATAAAATAAATGTACACACTATTGTTAGAAATTTCTCATTTAACTTAATTAAAGTTACCTAAGAGTAACACTAGTTGGAAACTATAATTAAGACCATTAGAATACGCCACAAATTCAAATTCTTAAAGACGTTCATTAAAATTAATCATTAATGCCAATTTCATGTCAATATGACAAAATGTAATATCTAGATTTTTAAGGTTATCTTGTATGTAAAATGGGCGCCTTGATTCCATCCGCGTTAAATTTTATATTCTAAAATGATTAAACACAAACCAAAAATAGGCTATGTCATTCTCCGGTACCTATGTACATGAAATGTCTTAGGATTTACAAAAACAGTTCCTTTTGCTGCTTGTACGAAATACAACCAACACACTTTCGGATTAATAATATTGTTATTACGATTACGACCTTGTTATAATATATTTTTAATGGGATAATTATGAGTTTTAAATATCATGCGACGGATCGCGATGTAATTGAAACCGATTTCTCTCTCTCTGGCTTATTTCTTTTTCCAATTCCTATTGCAAAGGCTTCCTGGCCTGCACGTTTCTGAGCATTATACTTTCTGACATTATAACATGTCTCAATCACTTGGTGCAAAGTATCGCTTTCAATCAGAAGTAATGATCATCAACTGCATTTTGCGATAAACTAAAATTGTTGATAAATTTTAATCCATTATTACCTTCATCCATTATCATATCTTTAGTTAATTTCGTTTCGTAACTAAATTTTACAATGCACAATTATAGGCCTCACGTTTATCTTAAAAACATGGCATAAAGCTGTTAAGACGTCTTACCGGTTGCAAGAGCTAAAGTACCCAATCACTCCGCTTTTGCACCGCCATATGTTTACAAATAGCCATTTAAAAATACATCCTCTATAAATATAAAGAACAGTCAAACTACTCCGAGGATGATAATAGACGAATGCATTTCTTTTTTTTTCTCTCTCCTGTTCATAGTTTTGTCGAAATAAAATATATGCATATATTTTTTTAATCGTAAAGTCTGTTTCACTTTCTTT